GCCCAGCCTGACCCCCCGCCTAGGACGGGGGGTGGAGAGGGGGAACCGTCTAGGGAGTGCCCGGCGTGTGTCACTCCACCGCCGCTCCGGTCCTCTCCTCTGGGTATCTCCTGGTTATCTCTGGTTCCCCATGTCCTAAATTGAACTCTAGGTCTGCATGCCCCCCCTTCCAAAAAAAAAAAGGTGTGGACCTCCTCCAGTCGCTTGGGGGTGGCCCAGGAGCCCAGATCTGAAGCTCTGTCCTGACCTCCCCCAGTTTAGACCCCAAAGAACTGATTAGCCCTGTCATCCATGGAGGCCACCTCCAGCTCTGAGTCTTGGATTCCTGCTGTCCTGGGATGGGAGCAGAGAGGCACGGAGGGCAAGCTACTTTGTCTGGGTCACACAGCACAGAGATAGCAAAGTTCACCCACCACAGCCACCATCCCTGGCTGTCTGCCCCTATCCTGTCACTTCTTGGCTGGGTGTGAAACCTGGTCTCTATGAGACAAGAGGTATGGGATTGATTGCTAGCGCTAGGAATCGAACTCTGAGCCTCTTATCCTCCCTGGGTCCTAGGCCTCTCCACTCTCTCAGCTTTCTTTTCTTTGTTTTTTTTGTGCCTGTCCTCAGCTTGAGTTCAGGGCTTAGGTACTGTCCTTGAGGTTGTGTGTGTGTGTTTCGGTCTGTCATGGGGCCTGGGTGCTGACTCTGAGCTCTTTAGCTCAAGGCTAGGGCTCTACTACAAAGCCACTTCCAGTTTTGTGGAGGTTAATTGGAGATAAGAGTCTCAGCTAACCATGGTCCTCAGATCTCAACCTTCTGAGTAGCTAGGATGGCAGGTGTGAGCCCCCTCACCCCATGCCCATGCTCTCTTACTGTTCTTGGGCACAGCTGGTGCTCTCCAAATGGAGCCAAAATGCTTCCAGCCGGAAAAATTGATTTTTAACCATAGGCAATTGGTTCAAACATTTTATATCATAAATGAAAGAAAAAAAGCTTGTGTGTCCAACTCAGTCTTGATCTGCCTACAACTCCTACTGTGATCCTGAACACTCACTGTTCCCTGTGTCCACCTGACCAAGAGCCCCTCAAGGGCAGGCCCAGATGTGACTCACTCCAGGGATAAGCATGGCTTAGGGATACGGGCCAAATGAAAATGGTGCCACATAGCCTATTTGCTCTCCAGAAGGTCTCTATGCATGCTGTTCCCCCTTGCGCTAAGTGGTCTTTCCTGCCTCCTTGCAAACTGAAAAACACAGGGTCTTTCTCAACTTCCCCACAGAATCATCAATCTTCTCTTGGGTTCCCCAGCCCCTGCACCTATCTCTTTCATGTGCAACCCCTGGAGTTTGGACACTATGTGCTCACTACTGGACTATGAGTCTCACTAGGATAGGGTCCCAGTCTCCCTCAGTCTGTGGCTCATCATCACCCTAGATTAGAGCTGGATATCCAGTTAGCCACAGTGGGTATATGTACTGGACTAACTGAAGCCCAAGTTTTTCCATCCTGAAGTGACAGTACCTTTCCCTCCATCATGGCCCAAAACTCAGAGCCAAGGAAAGCTGTTCTTTTGGGTCAGCAGCTCATTGCAAATCAAGAGAACCATGACACCTGGAGCTCAAGTGATAGAGATCTTGCCCAGTAAAAAAAAAAAAATAAATATATATATATATATATATATATATATATATATATCTGGGCATTGGGCTCATGCCTGTAATCCTAGCTACTCAGAAGGCTGAGATGTGAGGATCTCGGTTCAAAGCCAGCCTGGGCAGGAAAGTCCGTGAGATTCTTATCCCCAATAAACCACTAGAAAATCGGAAGTGGCACTGTGGCTCAAGTGGTAGAGCACCGGCCTTGAGCTGAAGAGTTCAGGGACAGGGCTGGGAAAGTGGCTCAGTGGTAGAGCGCTTACCTTGCATGCATGAGGCCCTGGGTTCGATTCCTCAGCACCACATAAGCAAAAAGAAAAAAGCCGGAAGTGGCACTGTGGCTCAGGTGGTAGAGCACTAGCCTTGAGCTGAAGAGCTGAGGGACAGCGCCCAGGCCTAGAGTTCAGGCCTCATGACCGGACCAAAAAAAAAAAAAAAAAAGAGTGCAGGGACAGGGCCAGGCCCAGCGTTCAAGCCCCACAACCAACCAAAAAAAAAAAAAAAATATATATATATGTATATATATGGGCTGGGAATGTGGCTTAGTGGTAAACTGCTTGCCTAACATGCATGAAGCCCTGGGTTCGATTCCCCAGGACCACATAAGCAAAAAAAGCCAGAAGTGGCGCTGTGACTCAAGTGGTAGAGTGCTAGACTTGAAGCTAGCCTTGAAAAGAGGCTCAGGGACAGTGCCCAGGCCCTGAGTTCAAGCCCCACTACTGGCCAAAACAAAAAAATTTGGGAGCCAGTGGCTCATACTTAAAATCCTAGCTACTCAGAAAGCTGAGATATGAGGATTGTGGTTCAAAGCCTGACAGGGCAGGAAAATCCCCTTGAGACTCTTCTCTCCAATTAACTATTCAAAAAATGTAAGTGGAGCTGTGGTTCAGCAGACTGCTAGCCTTGAGCAAAAGAGCTTAGGGACGGTGCCCAGGCCCCATGACTGACAAAAAAATTGGAGGTATGGCTCAGGTGGTAGAACACCAGCTAATGAGTATCAGGTACCAAGTTCAAGTTCCAATCACAGACCAAAAGAAAGAAAGAAAAACTGAAGAAGTTACTTTTATTGAGGTGCCTGTGAGTGTGGGATACCTACACTCCCCTCAGTACAATCTCATGGGTGGAAAGGACCAGGCTTCTGGACTATTCTGGGATACCACCCAGGAGAGGCTGGGCAGTGGGGCAGGGGGGCTGGGGCTCCAGTCCAGAGCAGATGATTGAGGAAACAAGGGTGATAGCTGAGGTAGGGGCTGAGGTGGTCCGATATCCCAGGATCGGGGAGGAGGTGGTGAAGCAACTAGCCAGATACTCTTCAGCAGGTCAAAGGCTGTTGGGGGTCCCCAAGTTGCCGCAGGGGGTGATGGCAACGAGGGCAAGGGGGGTGGCCAGGGACCTGTAGGTGGCGCCAGGCTCACCCTGTTTGCTGTGGGAGAGCTGGGAGCATGAGACATTGCAAAGGTGAGCTCCTTTTTGCCCTGGTGTTTTCTCTGCCTCTCTGCCCTGGGGGCCTGCTCAGGGCTGTTGATCCAGGAAAGTGTAGTCCTTCTTCTTCCAGGTTCCCTAGGCTTGGTCCCTGCCACAGAGGACAGAAGCATGAGAAACAGCTGGGCTAGAGCAGAGAAGGCAAAAGGGAAGGCCGGGGATAGGAGATGAGTTCACCTGGCAGAGGGGTCTGGCAGCCTCGAAGCACCAGGGCAAGGTCAGGCACACAGCCATGGCGGGCCTGTAAGGCTCCCACGATGGTATCCCTAGCCTCCTGCATCAGGTTCCTCTTGGGGAAGGCCTGTGGCAGAATCAGCTGACACTGCAGCTCCCTCAGCAGTTCCCCCAAGTCAGGGAGTTTGGGGGAAATAGGTGAGCTTGTGCCCAAATCTCCAGGCACCTGGGTCTCCTTGTCTTTTGATTGCAAGATGGATTCTTGGATGTTTGGACCTGGACTGGGGGAGGGCCTGGTGAGGAGCAGGGGACTGCCTGATTCCAGGGTACCAGAGTTTAGCAGCCTGGCCACATCCAAAGATTTCACCTCGTGATTGAAAAGACCTCGGTGCTCTCGGCTCAGCCTGCCTTGGGTTATGACTACAAACTTGGAAGCAGTGGTGGCCACAGGATTCTGGATGGCCATAGGTAAATCTCGACTGGACAGGGGAGGATCCTGCCGGATCAATGACCTCTGGTTGCCCACTAGGGCCTTGTTCCGCTCCCGCCTCGTTTTTCGACGGCGGATACGGCCAGGTTTCTCAGATTGCTGGAAAGGCTGAGGGGCTGGTCCTCGGGGGTCCATGGTGTCCTGGAAGATAAAGATAAGAGTAGTCATCTGGTATGGATAAGCCAGCATGAGTAGCAAAGTGTTAAGAGATGGTTGGGATGGGTGAAGCATATCATTCAGACACAAGAGGGGGAAAAAGGAAGTGAGTAGAGAGCAACTGACAAAGGCCTGGCCAAGGAGGGAGTCCTGGAAGAGGATGAGATAGTGATGGCTCATAGGAAGAGATGTCACGGAATGGAGAGAAGATAATCGATTGGGAAAATAGCTTAAAAAGATAGATCCTGCTGGGCACTGGTGGCTCAGGCCTATAATCCTAGCTACTCAAGAGGCTGAGATCTGAGGATCAGGGTTCAAATCCAGCATGGGCAAGAAAGGCCTTGAGACTCTTATCTCCAATAAACCACTCTGAAGCCCAGAAGTGGTGCTGTGGCTCAAGTGGTAGAGTGCTCGCCTTGAGCTGAAGAGCTCAGGGATAGAACCCAGGCCCAGAGTTCAAGTACCATGACCGACAAAAAAAAAAAAAATGAAAAAGATCCTATGATTGGAGGGATCTAGGGCATGAGAATAGGATTTGGGACAGAGGAGAACCCCAGGGGCGGAGGAGGTGTGGGATGATGCAGACAAGTGGACAGCGATGATGGTCCAGAAAAGCAATAGAGTGGGAGAGCCTGAAAGGGGGGTGGGGTGGGGTGGGGAGAATGTCCTCTGAGACAGAAAAGGTGGCAAGAAGGTGATGAGAGTTAGCAGGGCATGCAGGACTGGTCCTGAGGGGAGGCCCTAAAGCAAGAGGCAGGTGGGGGGGGCAGTTGTCCTAAGGCAGGAGACAGAATGCTGGGGGGGGGCCCACAGTTGGTGGAGCAGGGGGAGGGGCACGTCACCGACGTCTGTCCCAACGAACCCCACCCCACTCACTCCACGTGGCCGTGGAGAGCAATGGCTTCTTCTTTTCTGTGAGGAGACCTGTCGCCTCGAAGCTGCCCGCGCTCCTCTGGACCTCAAGCTCGTGTCTGGGCCTCAAGACGCGTCGCACGTCTTCACGTCGTCGCACATATAAACGCAAGCACGTATGTATCTATACCTGCACGTGCACGCGCACGCGCCCGCACGCCCACACGCACGCACTCAGACTCCTAGGATGAGGTCTACTGAGTGCCCGTTATAGGCCCCGCCTCTCGCAGTGTTATTTGACACCTCCCTTTCGCCAATTGGCTGTTCTCCCTGGGCCAACCCCTTCCTGAATTCTGATTGGCTCAGACAGCTATTGGTGGACCGTCTGATGGTCAAGTAGGAAGGTGCGAGGAAAAGGTCCATGTTCTCTCCCCAACACACAGGTCTCTCGGTGGAGATGATTCCTGGAGAGTCAGAACTAGGGTTAGAGCTAGACTACTTAGGTTCAAATACCTAAACTGGTACATTGGAGTCAGTTGTATGTTTGTAACTATTCAGAGGCTCGGGATTTTTGTTTGGTACTGGGGCTTGAACTCAGGATCTCTGTATTCGTTGTTTGGCTTTTTCCCTCTCGAGGCTGGTGTTCTACCACTTGAGCCCACACCTCTACTTCCAGAGCCTCAGTTTCCTTATTCGTAAAATGGAATGATTCAGGTTAGATACAAATAACTTGAAACAGTGCCTGATGAATGAATGAATGAGTGAATGAATGAGCTGAGGCTTTTTTGTTGTTGTTGGTGGTGGTGGTAGATATGGAGTGGAAGATATGTTTTCCACTATGTGTTACTTCAGAAACTGTCCTTTCACCTCTCTGTTTTTTTTAAATTTATTTTTAGCCAATCCTGGGACTTGTACTCAGGGCCTAGGCACTGTCCCTGAGCTTCTCTGTGTTCAAGGCTAGCGCTCTAACACTTGAGCCACAGCGCCACTTGCAGCTTTTTCTGTTTATGTGGTACTGAGGAATCGAACCCAGGGCTTCATGCATGCTAGGGCAAGCACTCTACCACTAAGCCACATTCCAAGCCCACATCTCTCTATTTTATCAGACTTCACATTTTTGTCTTTGAAGACATGTTGGCCTGAAAGTTTTGATCCTCTTGCCTAAGCTTCTGGAGTGTTGGGCTTACACGCATGTGCCACCACACCCAGCCTGCTCAAATTTTCCTTAATTTTTTTTTTGTCTTTTCTTTTTTGGTATTGGGGATTAAACTCAGGATTTGCACTTGCTAGGCCAGCCCTCAAACTTTTTTTTTTTTTTTGGTCGGTCGTGGGGCTTGAACTCTGGGTCTAGGCGCTGTACCTCAGCTCTTCAGCTCAAGGCTAGCCTTCTATCACCTGAGACACAGCGCCACCTCTGGTTTTCTGGTAGTTAATTGGAGATAAGTTTCTTGGACTTTTCTGCCTGGGCTGACTGAACCATTATCTTCAGATCTCAGCCTCCTGAGTAGCTAGGATTACAGGTGTGAGCCAGCACTCGGCTCAAACTTTTTTTCTTTTGTTTTTGCTGGCCCTGGGACTTGAACTCAGGGCCTGTGTCCTGTCCCTGAGCCTCTTTTTGCTTAAGGCCAGCACTCTACCATTTGAGCCACAGCACCACTGCTGGCTTTTACTGAGTAGTTCATTGGAGATAAGAGTGTCACAAAGCCGAGTGCCAGTGGCTCATGCCTGTAATCCTAGCTACTCACAAGGCTGAGAGCTGCAGATTGTGGTTCAAAGCCAACCCAGGCAAGAAAGGCCAAAAAATTCTTATCTCCAATAAACCACTCAGAAAACTGGAAGTGGTGCTGTGGCTCAAGTGGAAGAGCTCTTGCCTAGAGCTGAAGAACTGAGGGACAGCACCCAGACCCAGAGTTCAAGCCCCATGAACACCACCACCACCAACAACAAAAAAGAGTCTCACAGACTTTTCTTCCCAGGCTGTATTGGAACTGTGATTTTCAGCTTCCTGAGTAGCTAGGATTACAGGCATGATCTACTGGCACCAGGCTTCAAACTTTTCTTTATTAGCATATATTAGTTGTACAAGAGGTATTTCACAGTACTTCTATACATGTGTATGATGTGTCCCCATCAAACTCACCCTTTCCATCGCTCTACTTTATCCTTCTTTAAAAAAAATTTAGGGGGGGCGGGGGAGGAGTGGGGGAGTGGGAAATGGGAAGGGATGGGAAGGGGAAACAAAGGAGGAGGCAACAATGCTTGATAAGAGATGTACTCATTATCTTGCCCATGCAATTGTAACCCCTCTGTATGGTATTTTCACAATTAAAAAATAAAATAAAAATAAATAAATAGGTTAAAAAAATTCAGGGGCTGGGAAGGTGGCTCAGTGGTAGAATGGTTGCCTTGCATGCATGAGGCCCTAGGTTCGATTACTCAGCACTGTATAAGCAGAAAAAGCTGGAAGTGGCACCGTGGCTCAAGTGGTAGAGCGCTAGCCTTGAGCTAAAAAGCACAGGGACAGCGCCCAGGCCCAGAGCTCAGCCCCACAACTGACAAGAAAAAAATTTTTTTTTCAACAGATGTCATAGCTTATTTTCTTTCTTTTTTTTTGGGGGGGGCCGGTTGTGGGGCCTGAACTCTGGGCCTGGGCGCTGTCCCTCAGCTCTTCAGCTCAAGGCTAGCGCTCTACCACCTGAGCTACAGCGCCACTTCCGGCTTTTTTCTTTTTGCTTATGTGGTGCTGAGGAATCGAACCAAGGGCCTCAGGCATGCAAGGCAAGCGCTCTACCACTGAGCCACCTTCCCAGCCCCTCATAGCTTATTTTCATACATGCATATAAAATAGTTCGACCATATTCCCCTCATTCTCCCTGTCTATTGGCCCTCACACTGATACCCGTCCCCTAAAACCACTCAGATTTTAAAAGTAAATTAATGCAAGGTATCTGCTTCCCCTAATAAATACTATTAGGACAGTGTGCCTTTTTTTTTCCTTTGGTGGTACTGGGATTTGAACTCAGGGCTTTACACTTGCTTGGCTGGTACTCTAGTGCTGAGTCATGCTTCCAAACCCTTCTTTTTATTGGTAACTTCTACAATAGGGTCTTCCTTCGTGCATGTGCCTGGGGGTACAATCTGCCCACTTTATGCTCCACTTCCTATTGGGATAACAAGTAGGTACCATTTCACACAGCTTCTGTCCACTGAACTAGAACTCTCAAGGACTTTTCTGCCTAAGCTGGCCTGAGACCACAATCTTCCCCATATTAGCTTTCCATGTAGTTGTCATCACAGCTATGAGTTGAGAGGGGTCTTGTGAACTTTTCTGCCTGGACTAGTCTCCCAGGTGTGATTCCCTGTACTCCTCATGTCAGCCTCTCAAGTAGCTAGGATTGCAGGTGTGAACTAGCAGCTCTAGGTCTGTGTGTCTTTTTCTCCTGCTTGACCAATCTCCATTATCTTTCAAACTGTAGGTAAGATGCTGCTTCTAGAAAATCTCTAGTCCTCAGAGAATTCTTTCTCACCTAGAGGTCCCCTGTACCTCCCTCAATCACAACTTTGATCTCTCAGACTTCTGTATCTGGACCTGTCTTCCAACACATGAGTAAGGCTAGGATCTGACCCATTCATGTAATATTAATTTAGCAAGTACTGTACTTGTTCAGCAGACACTAGGTGCCAGGCTTGGGTCCGGGGAAGTGGATTGATACATAAAATAACACAATAAATAAGACTTATCTTTATGTCTCAATATGTCTACCTCAGAGGAATAGATAGAGGCTACAAGGAAATAACCAGGATGTTTAGGAGAGACTGAGACTCCCACTTGGTCCCAGAGAAAAGGGTGATTAGAAAAGCTGTTGAACTCTGAAGTTAATTTGGAGCAGGAAGCTGGAAAGACGTAACCTTACATGACCTTGGCTGTGGTTGTGTATTTGAGAGTCCAGATACACCCAGTTGAAATTATCAGCAGGCCTCTGTGTTGGGAGAGGAACAGAGGCCACAGATCTGCAAGATGATCTGCAGGAAGGGTGCCAGGCTGGACGTGGGCCCTTGCAGATATCTCCAATTTCCTTTCTTCTTCTGTACCTTCTATGTTCCATTTAGATCTTGTGGTGTCTTTAGTTGTTGTTGTTTGTTTTGAAGCTTGAACTCTGGGCCTGGGCACTGTCCCTCAGCAATTCAGTTCAAGGCTAGCTCTCTACCATTTGAGCCACAGTGCCACTTCTGGTTTTCTGGTGCTTTATTGGAGTCTCATGGTGCTTTATTGGAGTCTCGTGAGCCACTGATGCCCAGCTGACTTTTTTTTTTTCATTAAAATTTTATTTTTTTTGCTGGGTGCTGGTGGCTCACACCTGTAACCCTAGCTACTCAGGAGGCTGAGATCTGAGGATCATGGTTCAAAGCCAGCCCAGGCAGGAAAGTACAGTGATTCTGTTATCTCCAATAAACCACCAGAAAACCAGAAGTGGCACTGTGGCTCAAGTGGTAGAGCTCTAGCCTTGAGCTGAAGAGCTGAAGAACAGTGCCCAAGCTGAGTTCAAGCCCCATGACTGGAAAAAAAGAAGAAAGAAAAAAAAAAGGAAGGAAGGAAGGGAAGGAAAGGAAAGAAAAGAAGCAACAACAGCGCAGGGCACTGATGCCTCAGGAGGCTGAGCTCTGGGATTGAGATTGGAAGCCAGCTGGGGCAGAAAAGTCTATGAGACTCTTATTTCCAATTAATCAGCTAAAAGCCCCAAATAAAGCTTTGGCTCTAGTGGTAGAGTGCCAAGCTAGAGCAAAAAAGCTCAGGCACAGTGCCCAGGCCCAGAGTTCAACTCCCATACCAACAAAATGAATAGTTAATACATGAATGAATAGTAGGTGCTCTGGGTTGGGAAAGCCCACGGTCTGATAAGGTTCCCTAAATCCCGGCACTGCCTCCGAACGCGTCTTCATGATTTTGCCACCTTCCACCCCCACATTGGTAGAAAATGGAAGCGTCCTCTTCTAGCCAGGTGCGGACCAGCCACCACCAACACCCCCCTCCCCTAGATCCAGGAATGAACTGCTCCACTCGCCCTTCCACGTGAATGGGGCACACCCCTCCACACAGTAGGTGGGCCCTCCCGCAGTGTTCTCGCGCCAGCCAGCGGTTTTGTTTGTTTGCTTGCTTGCTTTTCCCAAACGCAAAGCGCTAAGATCGTTCCCCACCTCCTTTGTTTTTTTTTTTTTCAGGTCCTCATCCCTCCCCAGGACGCCAGTGATGGTTTCTCCCCTCTCCCCCCCCCCGCCATGGTGTTAAATGGTCTCGCCCGCCCCTCCCCCAGGGCCCGGGTGCGCTTGTGAGTAGCCGGACGAGTCCACTGTGAGGCCAGCGCGGGGGGGGGAAGAAAGCGTTACGTTCCCGACTTCACCTCCTTCCTAAGTGAAGATTTCCGCCCCGGGGGAGAAGGTAGCGCCCTGTCGAGTCCCGGCCTCCGTCCTCGGCGGGAGTGCGCGCGTCCGGGTCGTCCATTGTTGCCGCGAGAGGTTAGGAGTGGGCGTGGCGGAGTCACCTCCTCCCGGGAGCACACCGGGGTCCACCCCACTCGCTCGTCTGGAACCCCAACATGAGCGGAGAGGAGAATCCGGCCAGCAAGCCCACGCCGGTGCAGGACGTGCAGGGCGATGGACGCTGGATGTCCCTGGTGAGCGAACAGTCCCGGGGATCGATCGCGGTGCCCGGGAATCCGGTGCTTGGGGGAGGGGGAAGCTGAGGACACTTGGGGTGTCACATTCCCCGGGGGAGCAGGGTGGGTGGGGCGGGGCCTGAGGTTGTGCATGCCCATGACACCCCCACCACACCCCCCACCACACCCTCCGTGTCTTCCCCGGGGCAGCACCATCGGTTCGTGGCGGACAGCAAAGACAAGGAACCCGAAGTCGTGTTCATCGGGGACTCTTTGGTCCAGCTAATGCATCAATGCGAGGTGAGGCCTGCCCCTTCCCTCCTGCTCCTCCTCGGCCTGGTGTCCTCATGGACACATCTGGCCCAGAACCCAGGCCAGGCAGGGTAAGAGGTATGATGAGTAACTGGGGAGGCATACAGCCAGGTATGAAGAATGCAGTGCCTGTGTTTTGTTTGTTTGTTTTTGTGCTATTACTGGGGTTTGCACTTGGAGCCTGGGCGCTGTTCCTGAGATTTATTTCATTTTATTTTGCTCAAGGCTAGCGCTCTACTATTTGAGTCACAGCTTCACTTCTGGCTTTTTTGGTGCTTCATTGGAGATGAGAGTCTTACAGACTTTCTCCTTCCTGAGGCTGGCTTGGAACCTCCATCTTTGATCCTCATATCTCAGCCTCTTGAGTAGTTAGGATGACAGGCCTGAGCCACCAGTGCTGGAGAATCTGTTTTAAGTGCTCCTCAGCTGAGAAAGTGTATGCTCTGAGTTTGGCAGGTTGGGTTTGTGTGTACCAAGTCATGAGGTTTTTCTTGCAAGATTCACTAAGGGGAGGCTCTTTGTTTGCTTAAACTAGAGCCTTCATCTTTATAGGAGGCTTTGGTTGAACTTTAATGGTTATCCAGGAAGGGGTGGGGGTGCAGATAAATCATAAATGTCTTTCCACCTAAGGAGGTTCAGCCAAAGTTTGCTCAAGCTGAGATTCAACCGGACTGTTTTCATAAAGTTCTTCTTTTCTTTTTTTGGTCGGTTGTGGGGCTTGAACTCTGGGCCTGGGCACTGTCCCTCAGCTCTTCAGCTCAAGGCGAACACTCTACCATTTGAGCTACAGCGCCACTTCCGGTTTTCTGGTGGTTTATTGGAGATAGGAGTCTCACCGTCTCTTCTGCCCGGGCTGGCTTTGAACCTCGATCCTCAGATCTCAGCCTCCTGAGTAGCTAGGATTACAGGCATGAGCCACCAGCGCCCGGCTCATAAAGTTCTTCTGTAGTGGTATTTGGTTAATTACTGGACAGAGGGTGATAGGTTGGTGCTGATGATGCACTTGTGTCCACACCATTTTGTCCCCACAGATCTGGCGAGAACTCTTCTCTCCCCTGCACGCACTTAACTTTGGCATTGGTGGTGACAGCACCCAGCATGTTCTGTGGCGGCTGGAGAACGGGGAACTGGAACACATACGGCCCAAGGTGAGCAGGAGAGGGTTGGGGTTTTTTTTTTGGGAGGGAGGGATTGGGGGAGGGATGGGGGAGTCCTAAAGTATGTTTATTAATCTTCCTCAAAAGTACCTTTGGCCTTCTTTGCTAATGTTGCTTTGTGTACCTCCTTCCACAGATCGTGGTGGTCTGGGTGGGCACCAACAACCACGGGCACACAGCAGAGCAGGTGACCGGGGGCATCAAGGCCATTGTGCAACTGGTGAACCAGCGGCAGCCCCAGGCGCGAGTCGTGGTACTGGTGAGAAAGGCTGGGAGGGATAGTGAAAACCTAGATGCAGCCCACAGCTGACAGGGTTCTAGACCAGCCTGGTCAAAATGAGATGCTATCTCAAAAACAGACTAAAACCAAAAGGACTGGAGGTGTGCCTCACAAGGTCTTCAGCCCCCAGTACTGAAGAGAAGGAAGGAGTGAATAGATGAATGGACTCAGGGCCTTGAACTCAAGGCAGGGATGGGGAGGGTGTCTGTTGTTGGGCTTGAACTCAGGGCCTGGGCACTACCTTGAGCCTCTTTGGGCTCAAGGCTAAGCACTCTACCACTTGAGCCACAGCACCACTTCTGTTTTTTTTTTTTTTCCGGTCTTGGGGCCTGAACTCTGGGCCTGGGTGCTGTCCCTCAGCTCTTCAGCTCAAGGCTAGCGCTCTACCACTTGAGCCACAGCGCCACTTCCGGCTTTTTTCTTTTCGCTTATGTGGTGCTGAGGAATCGAACCCAGGGCCTCAGGCATGCAAGGCAAGTGCTCTACCACTGAGCCACCTTCCCAGCCCCCATTTCTGGTTTTTGAGCGATTAATTGGAGATAAGAGTTTTTTTTTTGTTGTTTTTTGGTTGGTTGTCGGGCTTGAACTCTGGGCCTGGATGCTGTTCCTCAGCTCGCACCAGGCTAGTGCTCTACCACTTGAGGGACAGCGCCACTTCTGGTTTTCTGGTGGTTCACTGGAGATAAGAGTCTCATGGACTTTCCTGCCTGGGCTGGCTTTGAACCATGATCCTCAGATCTCAGCCTCCTGAATGGCTAGGATTACAGGTGTGAGCCACCGGTGCCCAGCAGGGCTGGCATTCTTGCCACTTGAGCCACACTTCCACATCCCACCTTTTGCTGTGTACTAGGAGATAGGAGTCTCACAGACTTTCCTGCTCATGCTGGCTTTCAAAGCCCAGTCCTCAGATCTCAACCTCCTGAGTATCTAGGACTATAGGTGTGAGCCACTAGCAACTGGTAGATGTCAACATGTTTTCTGAATGGTGCTTGGAAAGAGGTTGGCACTCATAAGATTCTTGCTCAGTGGAAGCTGGTATATTAGCAGCAGCTATCTCTAGAACAGGCAGCTGGGAAGTTCATGGTGGTAAGTGGCCAGTTTGACAGAGAAAGATGTAGAGCCAGATGCTGATAGGCTATCTTAAGATGGATGTTCTTCCTCAGGGCCTGCTTCCAAGGGGCCAGCACCCCAACCCCCTTCGAGAGAAAAACCGCCAGGTGAATGAGCTAGTTCGAGCAGCACTGGCTGGCCACCCACGGGCCCATTTTCTGGATGCTGACCCTGGCTTTGTGCACTCGGATGGCACCATAAGCCACCATGACATGTATGATTACCTACATCTCAGTCGCCTGGGCTACACACCTGTCTGCCGGGCCCTGCACTCCCTGCTTCTGCGACTGTTGGCCCAAGATCAGGGCCAAGGGGTCCCTCTGCCTGAGCCCACTCCCTAGGCTCCCTGCCTCCCCACATTAAAACTTGGCCTTCCTTAGTCTGTTTTCTGCTTCATGACTGAGCCGTCCTGTGTATGACCAACAGATCCACCCTTGGTTTTTTCCCTAGTCTTGGGGCTTGAAATTAGGGCCTAAGTGCTGTCCTTGAGCTTCTTTATAGCTCAAGGCTAGTGCTCTAGACCACTTTGGGCCACAGTACCACTTCTGGAACTTTCTGAGTAGTTTATTGGAGAGAGGAGTCTTGACGGACTTTCCTGCCTGGCCTGGATTCAAACCATGATCCTCAGATCTCAGCCTCCGGAGTAGCTAGGATTATGGGCATGATACACCAGCACCCAACCAAGCCTTTTTTTTTGGTGCCAGTCCTGGGGCATGAACTCCAAGCCTGGGTGCTGTCCCTGAGCTGTTCTGCTCAAGGGTTTCACTCTACCACTTTGAGCCACAGTTCCATTTCCAGTCTTTTGGTGGCTAATTACAGATAAGACTCTCATGGGCTTTCCTGTCTGGGCTGACTTGGAACCATGATCCTCACATATCAGCCTCCTGAGCCACAAGCACCTGGCTCACACCTCTATTTCTGCCTGAGGCAGAAGTCACTCATCAAAGCACACTGGCTTTTGTAGCCAGGCGAATTCCTGATGTCATGTTGAATGCCTTGAGCAGATGCTGCCCAGTGAACACACTGGATGGAACCAATTTGCCAGCTTTATCCTGTGAGGGTCCAGGCCAAGCCTGGATGTGAATTCCCGGTGCTCTGGCCCTTGCTCAGATGCCACTTCCAGATCCTCCTCAATAATAGTGGTGTACCAAGGGTTGCAGGTTCAAGTCCCGTGTAATTTTGGCTGGCGATGCAATAAGTAGTTTCATTTCTGGCTGCTGTGCTGGCTAAGGCCACACGGGGGCAGCAGGTGTCAGTGGCCCAGTGCTCTGGGAGGACCAGTTTCAAGGCTGCCTCTGAATGGTCTATTTTCTGAAGTAAAACCTGATTCCAGGAACAGTACGGATGGACAGCCCCCATCACAGACCTCTCCCACGCTCACAGGCCAGACGGCTGAGAAGGGCAGAGTGGGCATTGTGATGTCCAGACTACAGACGGGCTCGCACCAGTCCAGGGTCTCTGATGCTGGGATGCTCTTGGAATTGCTACCCACCTTTTGGGAGAGTCCACTGCTCCATAGACATGTGGGGACAACACCTCCCACTGCAGAGCAAGCCAGCAGCCACCCAGTGTGTTAAACAGCTTTAATCTCGGTCATTGCTTCTTCTCGGCACAGTAAGAAATATTGCACATGATCAACATGTTTTGTTCTGGGGACGGGGACAGGGTGGGGAATCACCTTCTTAGAAAGTACAACCCAAGTTGGGAGGGCAGAGGGGGTAAGGAAGAATCCTCCCCGTGCCTGTGGCAAAAGTACAGGAGCCCCGACCCCAAACTAACCTGAGTCCAGCCCCTCTGGGGGAAAAAGGGGTGCATGAACTCCCCCCTACTCCACAGGCACCTCCCTGGGGCCCGAGGCCCACCCTGCCCTCCAGCTTGCAGCCCTCACACGAGCCATTTTGCATAAAGTA